GGAGATCTCAGATCTTTCCAGTCTTCTTCTCCTAGCGTCAGATGAAGATGTTCAAGATTTGGTGCGTGAGTACAAAGTAGTACAATCAAAGGAGACACTTTCGCCCTCACTATAGATGAGAGGAACACCGCCTTGTTTTTCACGCAAAGACCTTGAACCGCATCAGCTAGTAGAGCTATGGTTTCTGATGTGAGAGTCTTCGACCATCTTTCAGGCGCCCGGGATTCCCAGGCTGAGGTGTTTACGATTATCTGACGAACGCAGGATCCAAGGTCGCGTCGAGAAAGAAGAGTTTGAGTGAAGGCTAGTAGAGAACACAAACCATCTCTGCTGTCGCTGGTCTTGTGACAACAATGACAGTGAAGTCCATTCAGGTATGTTTTGAAAAGTATCCGCTGGGTCGCTGCGTACAGCTGGCGGGAGGTTAGGCAAAGGGAGAGAAGGACTGGCCAGTCTTCAGCTGACTCAAAGAATCCGATGATGAAGAGGAGAATTTCCGCAGGTAAATCGAGAAGACTACCCATTGTAGAAAGAGATACGAATGAGTGGAGGGAGTAGGAGCAGGTATGGAAACAAAGTAGGCGTCGATGATGAGAAGATGGATGTCGGTGGCCTGGGGATGCGCATGTGTTTTGTTGCATCCTTGCCCCAGCCAGACACTCCACGCCCTGCGTCATGCCTCGACCGTGCGTGAGCTGGTAGGTCAATCCGCCAGCTTTTGCATATCTTCCGCTGAATTCTTCCTCTTCTGAAACTGTCTTCTTCTCGTATGTACGCATATTACTGCACAACATAGTCTCTTCGGATACAGGACACTGTATGATCATGCATCCTTCAAGTGTGATAGAATTGTCATGCAGCAAGCTGGGTGACCACCAGGTTCTGAAGTATCAGAGTAAGCAACCTTTCGTCATTCCCTTCTCTGGCTCCTTCGCTTTCTGCTTGGATGGCCCTCTCAAAGACACAATTGAATTGTATACACGAGGCTCGAAAGAACAGAGCTGACTTTACCTTTCACAATAGATGTATCGGAGGTCGTCCGCATTGAATCTGTGGGCACCACAATCGGTATCCTGTGTTGCAAGCTGAGCTTCTCTCCTTGGAGCCTTTGGAAATCACCGTATCTGTTATTACGACGGTTGAGTGATAGTTTCCCTTGCTTGTCAATCGTTATTACCGAAGACCTGGTACTGATCTCATCTCGTGCTATGCCGTCGGACTCTGAATGTTAGCACATGAACCTTCTATAGTAGCAGGTGGCGCTGGAACCTGATCAGACCCAGCAAAAATGAACGACCTCAGCTACTTCGTACGCGGTTGAAGTGTTTCAGTATTCCAAACATCCGTATCAACATGATCAGAGCAAAGAAAATTTAAACAATGATATAGTCTGGGCCATTCTAGGGCAGATTGTTACTAGTCCAATGCCTATTGTGCCTACTCTTAGCACCCAGCACAAGGTTTGCCCATCCAACTCTGCTCTGATAACTGTGCCAGACCTTCTGGAGACTCTGGGGCTGAGCAACCACCGCAGTGACCGTCAGCTTGGACATAGTCCATTTGCACCATGGATCTCCTTTGGAACTTCCTGCATCATATAGATAACCACACGTGAGCACGTCTGACCAGAGCTGTAGTATATAGCGGATGTCTAATCATGACTAACGTTGGGTATGGAATCAGCATATTATTTCAAGATGTGCATAAGCATCATAGATTAGGGATGGGAATCTAAATATAGGCTCTTATTATCTAATAGGAGGGACTCTCCTATGGGTACGGGTCAAAGGTACAGCATTTTGCAGAAGGTTCAGGACACCGCAGCAGATGCTGCACTTATCTAAAGGCTCTCTAGCATTCCACCTTCTTCAAAAACATCATTGCGACCTATGTTAATCAGGAGCTCATGCAAGGACTCATCGCCATCGATCACCTCATCACTGCGCTTACCGTTCAGTACCCTAGCATCTGCAATTGGTGCCCCCTGGACAACCAATGTTTTTGGCGGCAGCGGCCGCCCCGGAAACCTTGGTTCCAGCAATCTCGCAGGCAGTCATCATCGTTGCCCGTGGGACAGGTCACAGGAGCTGCGGGTATTGCACTGGGCGGAGGCTAGGTGACGCTCAACAGGATGGTAGCGAGTATGCTGGCGAAACGCATTGTAGTTTTTATAGTGTTATTCTGGTAGGAGATAAGGGGACTTAGAGGGGCACCTTGGTTGCTTCTGAGAGTGAAGACTCGGTAGACTATTTTCGCTGCTTATCTTTATCTGGAACGTGGAGAATGCCATGGTTTCGGACTTGAGGTGCTGCCTTTTTATACAATTCCACATCCCTTCAACTATGAGCAAGTGTTGAATCGGAAATTGGGGGGTTCAGCGCTGCCTTGCTTTGCCAGAATCTGGATTGCCATATGGACAATCCTTAGGGTATCTGTTGTCAGTCAAATGATCCGGTACATAAACACTCGGAGAAAAAGGGAGCTCATATAGAATTTTGTAGATGTATAATACCACTAGGCCAAAAAGGCGTCCCGACGACGTACTGGCCAGTCTAGGCTTCATATCCAGAATCTTATTACCCTGACAAGTTTATGCATTTCCCGGTCCAAGTATCTTGGCAAATTGTGACAAGCGGCGTGACACACTCCTCTCTTATGAATGGCCAGTTTTCTGGGCTGCCAAGGGACTATATCATACGGGGTGTAAAATAGGTATGGGTCTGTGAAATTTATGCTTAAAAGGAGGGAGAGACTGCGACGATATCAGTATTTATATTTATACTTTATTACCAACTGAATACTGACACATCGCTGGTTAGGATAGAACAAGGATGCAGCTGCCGCCGCCATTCTCGCGCTACCTTTCTTCGCTCCGCGCATTGAACCAGCGCGTACAAGAGAGGGCAGCTTCGGAGCAACGTAAAAAAAGTCTTTCTAGCCGATTGAGCGATGTGTTCTTACGAACATGGCATCTGGGTTTCACAGCTTTTGGAGGACCGCCGGTCCATTTCCAGATCTTTCACGATAAGTTTGTTGAAGGTAAAAGAGGACAGGAGAAATGGGCGGATGAGCAAACAGTTAGTGCTGAAACCAGCGAAGATGGGTACGATAGGCTGATCGGAATGACCTTGTAGTATCAAGAACTCTTTGCCATCTGTCAAGCTCTTCCCGGCCCTGCGAGCACGAAGATGCTTTTCTGCTTGACTTTATTGCATGCAGGCTTCATTCCAGCTGTGTTTGCTTTCCTTATATGGAGGTGAGCTCTCGACATTATTCTATCTTCCATGCATCATTCGAGGCGACACGCAACGAACAGCGCAGCTAATATCTAGTCTAGTCTTCCCGGAGCAGTTGGCATGTATGCACTCTCCCTCGGTGTACAAAATATGAATGACGTTCTGCCGGAAATTGCATATGCATTCCTTTCTGGCCTCAATGCTTCAACCGTGGGAATCATTGCTCTGGCAGCCGTCCAGCTAGCGGAAAAGGCAATAAAGGATAAGCTTACCCGCATTCTAGTCATCTTTGGCGCTTGTGCCGGCCTTTGCTACAATGCTCTTTGGTACTTTCCGCTTCTCATTGTTCTTGGTGGTCTGTCAGTCGTTGTCTGGGACGGTTGGATGAGCCAGTACATCCGTAAAACCAGTGCTAAATGGAGACGACGAAACAGCCACCCCGAAGAGGCAAGGCAGGAACTTGGTGCTCCTAACGAAAGGGAGCTTCAAGAGCAACAAGGCAGCCAGATGCGCAGCACTCCTTCTAATCAAGGCACAGTCCGGTCCCGGAAGACTGGACAGGCAGCATCTCTTCCAGAAACTGTTTCTGATCCGCAAACCGAGTCGTTGGAAGTCAGCGCTTCTCATGATCATATCATCCGCATCCGTGTCGGTATCACAGTCTGCGTCGTCTTCTTTGGTATGTTCCTCCCTTCCTCGCTCATCCTCCAGCTTTTCATATCTAGCCATGAGCCATGCTGACGCTAAACCAGCCTCCTTTATTGCAATTTTGGTGGCAAGAGCGGTCATCAACTCCCCACCACTTGCCCTGGACTTGTTCGCTAACATGTATCTGGCCGGAACAATCATCTTCGGAGGAGGTCCCGTGGTGATTCCTCTTCTGCGTTCTTACGTTGTTGATCCTGGCTGGGTATCCGGCAGAGATTTCCTGATTGGTCTGGCTCTTATTCAAGCATTTCCCGGCCCCAACTTCAATTTTGCTGTCTTTCTTGGAGCTCTCGCGCTTCAAAAGTCCCAGTTCCCGACTGTATTCGGCGCTTTCCTTGGCTACATCGGCATCTTCCTGCCTGGTATCACTTTGGCCGTTGCTGTGCAGAGTTTCTGGAGAGTGCTCCGTAAGAGAAAGTGGGTTGTCGACTGGCTTAGAGGAGTCAATGCTGCCGCCGTGGGTCTGGTCTTCACTGCTGTATACAGGCTGTGGGAGATTGGATATTTGACACCCCAAGCCAGTAATGGTCAGAGTCTTGCTCTTGAGCCATGGTGGGTCGTTGTTGCAACTGTTACTTATGCGGAGCATGCTTGGTTCAAGGTGCCTCCAGCGATCGCGATCTTCATTGGCGGTATTCTGGGTCTCTGCTGGTATGGTGCTGTTGGTCGTTAGCTCAGCTTTGTCTGAAACCAAATGGAATACAGTAGTATAAGGTGAATATGAATCCGAAGAAAGCCGGGAGGGAGAAATAAAAGTCATCTTCGCATATTCTTTGTTGGCCTACAAGGTGGATCATTCCAGTATGATATCACTCTATCACTCTACGTAATTGACTTTCCTTGGTCACAAGCCTTTTGAATTCACTGTCTGCTCTAGTCTTGAGACACGGAAATGCAAAAACGAACACAAATCCCAGCAACCAAGGTAAAACAACCAAAGCTAGGGCTGCAAGGCGTTAGATTAACCTCGAGCTTCGTCCCGCTCTTGTCTCACATCTTTAGGCGTAGGCCTACGTCAGCGAATGTACTCTGGACGAGCCATCGACATAGCGTTCTCTAACAGTGTCCTGCCTCCTTCGATGCGAGTTTGGTTCCCTCATGTTGTGTCTGAAGCGCCAGTCCCCCGCTGATCTTCTTTGTCACAGCCCTGATTCCTTCCTCGATGATATCAGGATCGTTCATAGACATCCAGGGGATGCAGCCATTATTATGACGCAATTCTGCGTCGAGATGGTATAGGCCTAGTCCGGGCTGCTTTGACACTCGGGTCACTTGTTGTAGGAGATCGCCCATGTTCTTTAAATGCTTCGCATGTTTCCGCAAGAAGCGCGACTCGATCGCGTTTACTATGGCGGTATCTTGGCATTTCTCAGCCAAAGTACACAGCTTTTCCAAGTCCACGAAAAGCTTTCTTTGGACATTGAAGGCCTCCCGGCAAGGGCCAACAGGCTCGACTGGTGAATCAGGCCATTCATATTTCGGAGCCTCGATGTTAGTTGGCTTACACCGACCTCCGCGGATAATCAGATATTTCTCTAGCCATTCCATATCGATCAAGCACTCCTTAGCGCTCCTGTGCCAAAGCCTGATTGACGGAATGAGGTCAATAATCCAGTATTGCAGGCCAGCTCCCAACCTAGGGAGGAACTATTAGGTGACATACATGGCAAATCCGTGCAGAGCAACGTTGGCTCGCGAACAGTCTGCTGCGAGCTTTCGATAAAACATCCAGCTTGTCAATTCTTCGTGAATATGACCTCTAATAGACTGAGAAATATAAGCCTTGGGTTTTCAAAAGGGAAATGCAATGATAGCAATCCAGGATCTCCCAACGGACACGGGTTTACCTCTTCTAGCTCGTTCGTAAATGTAGATGGCCGTAGCCATTGATCAAGGTCATGACCCGAGACTTCAGAGATGATCGCCCTAGCTTGTTCAGACATGATTGCTGTAGGTGAAGAAGTTCCTCTGCTTTATTTTAGATGCAATGCTTCGAGAATGTCCAAAAGTCTGAATATGTTTGGTTCCAGAGGGTAAATGTGGGAAACAGTGCAGCCTTGATATAGGCCACCGTCACGGAAATGCAGCCCCGAACAATCATCATGACATACAGTCCACGTATCACGAGTATAAGGTATATCATCAACAATACTTGCCGGCCATCATGGTTAGGGAGCGCGAAAGAGGCTCTAGTGAGGATGGCTCACGACGAAAAGGTCATCACAATAGCGTAACCGTTCCCCGAGAATGGCTGGCTGAAGCCCGGTCAATTCAATACCACACTTTTCCAACCTGAAGAACGGAGATTATCTCCATTTGTAGAGAGCAGCAACAGAAGAAGGGCATGTCGGAATTCGACTCCGGTGTTCCGTTCCAGTGATGCAATAGGTGCATTAAGCATTCGAAAGAAGATATACCAAGGCTCGCGGAGGAGTATGCACTGTAATCGCGGGTCCAATTGACCCTTGGCTCTATATTTAGCTCTGTTTTAGTGCTGCCATCGAGCCTCCTTTCTGTTCAGGATCAAACATAGATCCCATAAGGCAGACTCTTTTTAGCACCTGACCTAGGAATATCCCTTAGCTGCACTCTTGTTCGCTCATCCTTAGATATATGGTACATTTATGTCCTTAGGCGACTTACTACTTAGATCCAGCAATTCAAAGTCAACTCTGCATATTCAATCCTGATGCTCGCTTCAGAAACTCAGATGAGTGTAGCTAGATGTCTCTCCCCTTCGCCTTCGGTCATTAAGTTTGACGTCATCATATAGACTATACATCCCTCCCAATGTTGACAACGGCCATGAGAAAGATATAGCAGTCAATAATGAACAGTCGTGTCTGAGTCTTGCTACCGATTAGTCCATGATTCCATAGGATGTTGGAAACATGTCGCATATACTCTGTACTATTCCTACTACGCTAGAAATGGTTTAGTTTAGTTGTACCCCTTATCGTTTTATCTGTGACGTCATATCTCCATATGGTGGAATCAGGGCGGTGAAAGATGGCAGCATCAAACAAACAACCCTGAGCCTTTTTTAACCATCATGTTTTTGAGCCCCCAAGGTTCCCTCCTTGCACTTAATATCTGTTACATTTCCTTGTCTCCAGCGACACGACCGCTTACTTACCTCTAATTGATGGCCTCCAATGGTCAAGATGCTCCACAATGCCCTTATCCGGACCCATCACATCACATCTCGTAAAAAAGTGTCTGCCTTGAAACGAGCAGCTGACACGCACAACTGTTTCGTACTCCTCCGCTCTGGCGGTTGTCCAGGGATCATGTATGTTGAATCTCGGGATATGAACTCCGTGGAGTCGTGGGTCGATGTGGTGCGTAACCTGCGCTACAAGGATTTCCAGCTTGTTAGCCGGCCAGGAGCGGTAATAAGAGACGATCAAACCGGATATTCGAAGTCAGACAGACGTTCTCAAAGCTCAGATACTCCAACTATACCGCACGTAGGACTATCTGAAGTTGAGTCCGTCAAGGAATTTGGGAGTATTATGGAGCAGCGAGGTATCTGGCAGTGGTGGAGGAAGGCAATGGGTTACCTGAGCTGAATGTTGATGATTGATCTTGAGTGCTAGATCTTGCCTTCAATACGCGCAGCTCCCAATCGTTGTTGGACTGCTGTCATTTGAGGACGTGCCGCATGGTTCTTGCAGCCGTATTCTTGCGGTGATATCCTCCTTGCGGCGGTGGTGACGAATACTCCTGGTCCTGGGGACTTATAAGTGCCCTGGCATGCATGACAGATTCGCAGCAGGAGACTTGAACGTCAATCCTAATAACAAACGTCTAGAACTGTCAAGCCTACTTGCCATGGTTGGGGTCGCCGACACGCTCTGCTTCAAATCAACAAGTCTTCCGCGCTTTCGCATCAGGCACTGTACTTGTTAAGCTTATATCCAAACGGTTTCGATCATACCCCACGCTGGCTGTGCCTACAGAGCCAGTGATTCTGACTTTTAGCTCACTTCCTAGTGACTTACCGCCCACAAGATAGTCAACAAGAGTCTTATGGCCTCTGCAACTGGTACCTCCATACTACGCATGGCTATCAATACTAAACCATATTAATCAACATATCACCATATGCTATCCGACTTTGCAGGTTTCGGAGGGCCTTCAAGTTCTGTGCCACCCGGTCATTTCGAGCAGCCGGGCAAGCTTGCTCGTGGTCGTTCTTGTCCACTAAGTTTATACTCACTCAATATCCGAGAGTTAACAGCTCTTGCATTCACCTCGGTGGTTTATTTTTGTTTTGCCCTTCTTAGAAGGTACAATACAGTCAGATTGTCTGCATTGCTTCTTTGGTAGCGGTAACTGTCGAATTGAATTCACAAAAAAGCACCAAAGATCCGTTGTCTGGATATATACATTGGATGATGATTGGTCTATGTAACAAAGCAAATTGGCACTGCGTATGCCTGACCCTGAACGCCGTTCCATATGTCGCGAATGAAAATATGATAGCTACAGAAGAATCCGTAAAAAGCCGAGGAGATGGTCCTAGTGAGGCCTCTCTATTGGAGGCCAATCGGGAGCAGGGTAACTAAGTAGTTTACAAATGTCCTATATAAACCAGATTAGCGAAATATTGTATGAATCGTGCGAATCTTTGCGCAAACCTTTCGTCTTTGACGGAAGTCTTGGTAGAGTGACTTCCATACCTCCCGATCACGGCACCCCCTTTCTTGCACTGTGCCCGGTTTATAGTCACACTTGGGTAGAATCTCAGCAAGCAGCTTCTGGTTTGAAAGCACCCAGGGTTTTGGTAAAGGCCAGTCAGAGAAGTGCACAAGTTTGGCTTCTGCCAGGACCTTGTCAGGATCCCAAGTCTCATAGTCATTTCCAAAGAAATTTCGGTGATCTTTTTTGCGGAACTCGCCGGTAACTAGGCCGTACTGCCGATGCGGAAGCACCAAGGCCGAATCTGCATAGCGATTATTCAACAGCTCCATATCATATCTCTGTGTCTCATTCGAATCAACTTCCACTTGACCGTGGAGGGCTGGCTGAGCACTCTCCATGAGGGCTTTGAATTCGCGATAAGAGGGTTCAATCACGATCAGCAGGGACGATAGTTGCTTTGTATCCGGGAGCGCCCAGTAAGCCCGAGGCATAGCGGCTTTGGCTGGTGGGAGGAAAAAGAGTTCATCCATACTCTGGAGAACGGTAACGTCGGAATCAATGTGTATGACGCGATCGTATTCTGTTTCGCCGAATGCGAGCAGTTTCGCAATACTCTTATCCCAAGATTCGCCAGAGCCTGTGTCGATTGTTATCAGAGTTAGACCAGCTCTGCTTTTGACGAAAAGCCGAATTGCGGTTCTGAACCCGGACTCACGTACCTCCTCCAGCCTTGATCATTTCCGCACTAATAGGTACCAGCAACGCCTTGTACTTCTCCTTGGCGAGCTCTAGCAACTGGCTGTCCCTGTCATGGTCATCTGCAACGAACAGATCCCAGTCTTCGGGATAGAAAAGAACTCTATCCGCTCGGCTACCTAATCGCTCCAGAGCTTCGAACACCATCACGGCGTTACACAGATATGCGCTCGACGTCGCATACTGACTGTAGGCGTAACGCGACCAATCGACTTTAGTATAGTCGATATGCGAAACAGGAGAAGACGAAGGGGCTTCACGGCGAAACCAGAGTATCAGAATGATGAAGACTGCGAAGAAAATCCAGGTCCGAATGCGTCTTAGTTGCCGCTTCGCAACCGCAAGACATGGCTCGTCGGGGATATCAAAGAAATCCGCTTCTGAAGACCCAGAACCCCTGCGGTAGGGAAGGAGGGTCGCCTTTTTGTTTCCCATTGATCATGAATTACCGAATAGTGAGAACCAGGGAACCATTCTGGCGTTGTTAACACACATGGCTCAATTTCAGACAGGCAAACACTCGTCATGGCCTTAACAAGATCTGCGGACTGGGCCATTTCCAATCCCCATGCACGTGACGAACCTCCAACAGTATTAGCGCCGCCCTGTGTGTCAAGATGCGACTCGCGTCCTTACTTTGTTTATCTCTGTTTCAGATGTCGGTCGTATTTCACTCTAACGGTTCTACACATCAAGCGTATAACAGGTCTTCAACTTGCAAGTTCAAATGAGGGACTACTACTGCTCAGGTACCTTGCCTACGTACTATGGTGGATAGTTGAATAAATAGCTTCAAACGTCCACTATACTCTACTAAATCAGGCAGTCTGTCGGATCGTAACATGGGCGATGTTCTTGTACTCTATGTACAATGGGACTTTTCTCTATTATCTGAAGAATAATATATTGTTAAGTATAGCCTAGTCTTGCTTGAATCTCTTTCTCATCGAGAGAACCGTTCTCCCCGACATAGTTCTGAAGAGCCTCAAGGGTCATCAATCGGCGAGGTGCCTTCCGTCCTGTTAAGAGCTCGAACTGTGCGACCGCTTGTTCTGAGACTAACTCCAACCCTCCGACCAGTATCCACGGCCTTCCAGTTTCACTTCGGAACCGGCGCATTTGCCGCAGCAGGGGCGTATCCAAGGGTTTGTATGCGAACTGCTCCAATGAAAGTTGATCAGCTAGGGTTCTTCAAGATCAAACGCGATGAACGTTGCTCACCTCCAAAATCACGCCGCCCGTTGGACTTCCGAGCCACTGTGTCGGCATTTCGAAGTTGGCTGGAGGTTCATCTCTGTCAGGATCTGCTGGCACGCACGAGGCAATTAAGCATGGCGGGCAGGTATCCAATGGCCATTCATCTTCAAGGGACTTCAACACCCGTACTACTTGGGTTGAGCCCACCTGCGATGCAGCCCAGGAATTAAAATGGCGTGCGACACCCTCCGCACGCGATAAGGTTCGGTTATATATGAAGATTTTTCGGCAACCTAGCCGAAGCATAGCATAAATCGCGGCCCGAGCCATGCCACCGGCTCCAATAACCAGGCCTGTTGATTTCAAGGGGCTGATCGTATTACGGGGAGACAGGTGACGATTGATACAAGTCATAATACTCACCCAGTCTGTGTTTTCTCCGTACCATCCCAGAACAGGCCCCGCCTGGTTACGGCGGCTGGCTTGCTCCTGTAAGGGAAACATCGTCCCATCAGCGCGTGCACGCAGGGGCATGATGGTATTGACGGCACCAATAGCTTCAGCATGTCTGCTTTTGGATGCGAGTTTCTGAAAGACCTGCACTCTCCACGGCTGCACAATACTCGCACCCCCAAAATGCGGATCACGGCCCAGCCGATCAAGCGCCGCAAGAGAAGGAGATTCGGGAATGCTATACGTGTGCCTCATGCCGCAGTGCCGAAAAGCAGCATTGTGCATGGCAGGTGACAGGCTGTACGCCACGTTCCCTCCAAGGATATAGAATTGCAAGGGGTCTAGCGTATAGCTCTGGAACAAGGCTTGAATGGCGTCTCGTGAAGTAATGATGGGATCCCTGACATTGCCTGTGCGACGTTTGAGAGCCGGATGGGTCACGGAGGTCAATATCGAGTTGAACACCTGGGAGGTCCTCCCAAGGCTGCCAATGTTGTAGGCAATCACCGGGGGGTGTGAACCAGGTAAGGATTGGACTTTGTTGATAAATTTGCCCACAGCTGCGTTATCCTCGCGCTCAGTGGCCACCCGAAGAATACGCACGATTTGGCAACCAAGCTTTTCTGCTTCGAGATACAGGGAAAGGCATGCTTCGTCCTCCCAAGTCACGCAAGAGGACGGCTCGAAAAGATAATGGCCGATAATCTTGGTTCTACCTCTGTCGCGAATCACCTGGTTCAACAACGATTGATTTTGGCCCAGATCGACTGCTAAGTACTCCACCGCCAGCCTTAAGCCATGCTCTAAGATGTTGAAATACAGCTCTGAGATCTGCGCCGATATGAGGTCACCGCTGCCGATTCCGGATGCTGTTATATCAACGGAGAGTATGATTGGTGTCCGGGCATTCCTCCGAAGCAAAGAAACTTGCTTGCTGATGGTGCTCGCCATGCTTGAACCCCAGCGGTCGACGCAGAGCTCAATAGCATCTCCACCAGATTCAAGCTCTGCCAAGTCGACGACTCCTTCAATTAGATCAGAGGAGCGAACAAAGATTGCATGAGTAAATGATCGAAGTTCCGGGGGTGTCTCCAACAGTACGAAAGGCGAGTCGTAGCCAGGTTGGTCCACATCCGCGCCGGTGACAAAACGTACGAAGCGGGTGAAGTCCTCCTTCGCCTCTCTGAGTTTGAAGGAGTAATTAACAGATCGGCGATCAGATGTCTCTCCGTCGATTTGAGCCTCCACGCTGGAACGATCTTCGATGTTATAATACTCGAAATTCGAGCAAGTTCTGTGCAGAGGGTCTCCCTCACACAGCAGCTTAACAGCCTGATGCTCTAAACCTAGCAAACTTTGGATCAGATCCATGTCACGAACAAGGTACACGATTGGGTTCTTCGCCAAATACAAACGAAGGTGCTCCTGAATTGGTCGAGTGAGGCTACCAAGACCGCACTCAATGACACACTGTGATTGATGATTGTCGAGCATCTTCTTGAGAACATCGATATCACGACGCTGAAATTCTTGACTGCCATGGCGCTTGAGGTACTCATGCCGTGTGAGCCCAGTAACTTCCTTGAAGTAATGATCCTCTGTAATGAAACGGCGTTTGAGAGCGGTGGCAGCGACGAAGCCGAGAGAGCGCTTTCCGCATCCTCGAATGCCAACCAGTACTAAGGAGGCATCGCGATCGAATCTCCGGGGAGTATTGACGCTCGAACCTGGGAGCATCATCTCTGCGGACGGTGGGATATGTACTGTTTTGGAAGCGAAATCAAGAATGGTTGTCCAATTTAACCAAAGTTGTTTACTTTTTGGGGCGCCATCTCTCGGTAAGTCGAATTGTCAATGACCTGCACTGGTGAAAACTTGGTATTCCAAGTATAACGAGGTGAAAGATAACAGTGCGTGGTCGGAGTTAAGGAACCAAGAGGTTCTCTGGGGATAATATCGACAATGGTGATCTCACAGTCAAGTTAACGTGCCGCGAATAGAAGTTTCACAACTTCACAGCTGCGGCACGCGTGGAGACTTAGAGGGCCGAAGGATGAGGAGGTACGGGGGTACAGTAAGGAACATATTAGTGACTTTATAGCTCAGACGGCGACGTGCCTCAGTATGAAGATCGCTGTCTCGAGTCAAATGTGGGCATGGATCTGGGATGGACCATTTGCCGTTCATTTTTCCCCAGACGGTCAATCTGCCGCGTCTCACCGCCTTTGGGGGACGGACGGCGGCAAAGGTTTTAGCCACGTGTGGGGGCTGCACAGCCGTCTGTTAGGGTTATTTATGTACATAAATACTTATTTAGGGTTCTGTGCAGTCTTAGCAATTGTTAAAATCGCTCAGTCATCTTCAACCTATTGAATGGTTATTCTATTACTAAATAGGCTGTCGAACAAATATTGCAACTACTATTTCTACTACGCTAGAAATGGTTGTCTAGACACCCTCTTAGTCAAGTAGTTTTAGTAACCGTCGACATAGGCTATACCCTATGTATACCCATGTATGTATTAATGGTGATCAGCAGTGTGACGATCTCCGCCTGTTGTCGATCTGTGCCAGGATCCACATGCAGAATATGCTCCAGACCACAAGAGGTATATTTTAAACAATGCCTTCTAGCAAATCGTTCATAGCCGATATTTCGAGTCGGAGGTTACAACGTACCCAGAGACATCGTACCAGAATACCAATGCGTGATACCCCTACTCGCAAACCGACGGCGGAGCGTCGCATTGAGCTACCAGTATTGACTGATCGTCTATGATCTCAGGGAAAATGGTCATGGCTCAGCTGGGGGAGCTCAGGTTTGGTAGCCACGGTGCCTGTATTTGCGGCAGACCTTGTTGAGAACCCAGAGGGTAGCACTTGATACCGCGCATCCAAAAGTTACTATATTTCTCCAGACACAAGTCTCTTGAGCTGCTTGCTTTGAATATCAAGGCTTTTGTCGAAGCGCCGATTTGCCAACGGCTTGGCTCAGGCAGTGTCCGTGCCCTTCGAAGTTTTTCTCTAATCGGCACTTCAAAAGCCTTGGTCCTCAAGGGAAACTCCCCGTGGGCTAACGAAGAACGCTATTCAGAAGTTGAACGTAGTACTCGACTAGTTAAGAGGAACAATCATTTCATACTTGACTGGGTAATAAAAAGTCTTCCCGGATCCGCGCTGTGCTTCTTTATGTAGACAATGAGCTAGACATAAGCTCCTGCTTGTACACAGTTGCACGATAGATTACTCTCTTCATCGAGGTGATAACTTAGTTCTCCCAGAAAACTGTTATAGATGGCCCTGCCTGTCGAGAGCATAGACTCAATAGTTCTTCAAGCTTCCTAACTGACATCATTTTTTGAGAGCACCTGCCCAGTGCAGCCGAAGTTGTAGATCTCCATCTTTCTCTTATGTGCTCTTTTCAAACAGATACTCAAGTGACATCCACTCGAGCAATTGGCTACTCCATGCCTTCCCAGATAATGTGTTCACAGAGGCTTTTAAAATCAATGTCCCCCTCATGCCCTTCTGTTCCTCTTTTCCTTTCTTCTCCCGAGTACCATTTTCTAAGTTCCCTTTAACACTGATAACTCAATCTCATAATGTCCGGTTGGACCCATCCTCGAACGCATTGCCCATGTTTGTTGCATTCTCCTTCTCGTAGACCGGATCATCCAACTCGCGATCGCCTCCAATAAGCTGCGCCTTCCTCGGAGAGCGAGAAATCAGATAAACCCGGAAGGCCAAGGTACCGATGGGGCCGGTATTCGACTTGGTAACCTGGG